ATCATTCTACCATCTAAACCGCTGTTTTCAATAACCATAAATATTGAATTTCAGGCTGTTGAAAGCTGTTGTACAAAAACGAAACTTAAGAACTGGAAGCATAGAAATAGTGCACATAGAACAGATCTACCGCTTCTCATACCTGCATTCAATTAGAATGAGATCTATAACTCACATTTCTATGTTAATTTGGTAGGGTCCCGCAATAAGTTACATATTGCAGCTTTAAAACAGATCAGTATCTTTGGTTTTGTACCATTGATTTTGTTACATACGCTGCGGCACGTAAAATTCGGTGCGGTCTCTATAAAAGTCGCAGGCCACAAACCAATACATGGATTTGACAGTCAAACTAGGACTTAAATAGCACCCAACCATTGTCACTGTTGATATCCTATGCCGCGTTGTGATTCGTTTAAGTTAACAGAAAAAGTGGTCTGTTCCCGTTTCCGTGATGGCAGCCTCCCGAAATCAACATCCGACACTCCAAAATATAGATATAAGCCTTCTACAAGTTCTCATCTAACCAACCATGTATAGGTTATTCCAAGTTTCCATGTGGCCTTTGAAAAGTGTTAGTTTAAACAGCGCTACACCCCAAACGTTTGCCCCCTGTTCTATTTATTTCAGCGTGATATCGATGGAAGTGATTAACTAAAAATGGTTACGTGGCCACCCACTTGACTCAAAATGCAACACTTCCAAATGTAGCTAGCTCTCTTCTACAAATTGTCCTCTAACCAGCAGGGCAGTAACCAGGGTTTGAGTTTAGTTGAGTTGGGGTTATTTGAAAGTTGAACCGCATTTACTGAATTTCTATACAATTAAACACATTTAAAAATGCTATTTGGAGAAAAGCATAAACAAGGAAAAATGACCCCAGCCATTATCACATTGGCTGCAGTAGGTTCATTCACTTCAGTTGATCTACAAACACATAGCCTAATAGCTATACAATTGTAATGTTATACCCCAGAAAGAGGGGAAATATGAGAAACGATTCACACTGACACATAACATCATTGACGAAATAAAAACGTATGACCTTTTTAGAACTGTATTGTTTGCATTTTAATGTAGGCCTATAGCGAAGATGGACCATGTGGATATGTTCATATTGAAATATATATATATATATATATATATATATATATATATATATATATATATATATATATATATATATATATATATATATATATACAAACACACTACCAGTCAAAAGTTTGGACGCCTACTAATTCAAGGGTTTTTCTTTATCTTTACTATTTTCTACATTGTAGAATAATAGTGAAGACATCAAAAATATGAAATAACACATATGGAATCATGTAGTAACCAAAAGTGTTAAAATATATTTTATATTTGAGATTCTTCAAATAGCCACCCTTTGCCTTGATGACAGCTTTGCACACTCTTGGCAGTCTCTCAACCAGGTTCACCTGGAATGCTTTTCCAACAGTCTTAAAGGAGTTCCCACATATGCTTAGCACTTGTTGGCTGCTTTTCCTTCACTCTGCTGTCCGACTCATCCCAAACCATCTCAATTGGGTTGAGGTCGGGGGGGGTTGTGGAAGCCAGATCATCTGATGCAGCACTCCATCACTCTCTCTCTTGGTAAAATAGCCCTTACATAGCCTGGAGGTGTGTTGGGTCATTGTCCTGTTGAAAAACAAATGATAGTCCCACTAAGTGCAAACCAGATGGGATGGCGTATCGCAGCAGAATGCTGTGGTAGCCATGCTGGTTAAGTGTGCCTTGAATTCTAAATAAATCAGTGTCACCAGCAAAGCACCCCCACTCTTCCTCCATGCTTTACAACATATGTGGAGATCATCTGTTCACCCACACCGCGTCTCACAAAGACATGCCGGTTGGAACCAAATATCCCCAATTTGGACTCTAGACCAAAGGACACATTTCCACCTGTCTAATGTCCATCGCTCGTATTTCTTGGCCCAAGCAGGTCTCTTCTTCTTATTGGTGTCCTGTAGTGGTTTCTTTGCAGCAATTCGACCATGAAGGCCTGATTCACACAGTCCCCTTTGAACAGTTGATGTTGAGATGTGTCTGGCTTGAACTCCTGTGTAGCTCAGTTGGTAGAGCATGGCGTTTGCAACGCCAGGGTTGTGGGTTCGTTTCCCACGGGGGACCAGTATTAATTCTTTTTTTTTTTTTCAATGTATGCACTCACTAACTGTAAGTCGCTCTGGATAAATGACCAAAAAAAAACCCTCTGTGAATCAATTATTTGGGCTGCAATTTCTGAGTCTGGTAACTTTTTAATGAACTTATCCTCTGCAGCAGAGGTAACTCTGGGTCTTCCATTCCTGTGGTGGTCCTCATGAGAGCCAGTTTCATCATAGTGGTTGATGGTTTTTGTGAAAGTTCTTAATGTTCCATATTGACTGACCTTCATGTCTTAAAGTAATGATGGACTGTTGTTTCTCTTTGCTTATTTGAGCTGTTCTTGCCATAATGTGGCCTTGAATGAGTAGGTGTGTCCATACTTTTGACTGGTAGTGTATATTTTTTGTTCCTAACTTGTTTGATAAGATTAGTACAGATTTTCTCAGGGGACCCCCCCCCCATGGGGCCCAGTCCTCACGTTTGGGAACCACAGTACCAGCCTCTATCTTTGCTTGCTTCCTCTCTCTCTCTATCTCCTCTGCTCCCTCCTGCATTCATTTCAGCCTGCCTCAGCCTCACCACTGAGCACCACATCACTGTCTGTGTCAGTAGCCTACTCTCTGTAAAGCAAAGTTTGTAGCATATTTTTTGCTCCTGCTGAGGTAGGCTACGTTTAACGTTAGCTTCTTACGTCATCCTTCAAGCTGGTTAAGTAATACTAGCCAGAGCCCTTCAAAGTTACTGCAATAGAAGTCTGCCGGCAGCTAGCCATCTGAGTGACGGACAAATCTATATATAAGTGACTATTTACCAGTTGTGCACTCATTCTCAGAGAGTCTGTTTTTGTTTCTTTGGGGATGTCTGTAGAGTCGCTGGACAGTTTTAAAATGCCCTTTTGTCCGGCATCTCGCAAACACTGTCAGCAGCATCTCAAGTTGCCTACTGCGAGCTGGGGTAGTTCACCTCACGCCTCGATCACACCGATAGCGTTATTGCGCAAAATGGTCTGCTGCAGCATCTGGATATGTGTGCAACAAAAGTTCAACATTCACCTTCTGCTACCATTTCTGTCAAGCCGTCTATGCATACAGTTTGATGCATACGTTCAATAAATCCAAAGTATGCAACACACAGAATGCACTGCAAGCAACTGCCTCTCCAACGCAAACGCAGCGTTCGATTGGAAATGAATGTACTTCTGGTGTACCAAAATGCAATGACGCTATCGGTGTGATCGAGGCTTCAGGCCATCGGCCTGTGCCGCGAGTGGGCGGAGTTAGCCGTTTCAGAGAGTTGTGAATGTGCTGTTAAAAAGGCAAATCCGGGGAACGCATGCTTACATAATGAACAAACCACTGTTCATGATTCCACTCGTTCGCAAAGAGGCAGGCGAGATTAGAACTCAGTCAGATCAATGTAAGCATTCTGAGCTTTGATCAACGCTGGGAGCAATATTTAGATGTTGACCCGTAAATACTTTTCTTTATTGTGTATAAATATATATTTTTCTAAATTAGAAAAAATTACAGAGGTCCGGACCTCTGTGTCCTCATATGTACGCTGAACAAAAATATCAACGCAACAATTTCAAAGATTTTACAGAGTTACAGTTCATACAAGGAAATCAGAATTGAAATAAATAAATTAGGCCCTAATCTATGGATTTCTCATGACTGGGAATACAGATATGCAATCTGTTGGTCACAGATACCTTAAAAAAAAAAAAAGGGGTGTGGGTCAGAAAAGCAGTCAGTATCTAGTGTGACCACCATTTGCCTCTTGCAGCCCGTCACATCTCCTTCTTATAGAGTTGATCAGGCTGTTAAATGTGAAACACGCTGTCGTACACGTCGATCCAGATCATCCTAAACATGCATCAGTGGGTGACATGTCTGGTGAGTATGCGGGCCATGGAAGAACTGGGACATTTTCAGCTTCCAGGAACTGTGTACAGATCCTTGAGACAAGGGGCTGTGCATTATCATGCTGAAACATGAGGTGATGGTGGGGGATGAATCTCGTCACGGTATCTCTGTGCAATTGTGTTCGTTGTCCGTAGCTTAAGCCTGCCCATACCATAACCCCACTGCCACCAGGGGGCACTCTGTTCACAACGTTGACATCAGCAAACCGCTCGCCCGCATGACTCCATACAAGCTGTCTGCCATCTGCCCAGTTCAGTTGAAACCGGGATTCATCAGCGTTCCAGTGGCTATCGAAGTTGAGCATTTGCAGCAGGAAGGTGAGCACCATCTGGTAGCCATGACTGCGGTAGATGGAACTGCATTAACCCCCTGAATGTTGGTTACGACGCCAAACTGCAGTCAGGTCAAGACCCTGGTGAGAGACGAAGAGCACGCAGATGAGCTTCCCTGAGATGGTTTCTGACAGTTTGTGCAGAAATTCTTCGGTTGTGCAAACCCACAATTTCATCAGCTGTCCAGGTGGCTGGTCTCAGACTATCTCGCAGGTGAAGAAGCCGGATGTGGAGCTCCTGGGCTGGCGTGGTTACACGTGGTCTGCTTTTTTTTGGGGGGGGGGGGGGGGGGAGAGCTCTGACTGGGAAACATCGTTTTGAACGGGCATCCAACTCAGAATTCCAAGACGGATACTCTGGCATCTTTCTAGAGTTCCGATGTTTCTACCTGAAGATCACTGACGTCATGATTTGACGTCGTTTTTTTTCTTCCTGAGGTCCCAGTTGTCTTGAAAGCAGCAACTGCCTGATTGTTGACTGATGACAGGAGTGGTAACTGATAAACAAATCAATGTAGCGATCTATTATATTGACTATCATGTGACATGTCTAACAAAGAGATGGTAGTGACTTGATATAGTCGTTTATTTTGTCTGTATTCTTTTGTGATCAGATGATGCTGTATCTGTCCTTCCCTGTGACCATGTTCTGGATCTCCAACCAAGCAGAGTACTTTGAGGAATATATTGTGAAGAGAAAGGTTAGTGTTGTCTTATCTGGATTGATTGGTTGATTGATTGATTTCTTTTATTTCATGATTAAAAGTGCATAGAACTAAGGTTGCTTCAGCCGGAGACAACAGTAGCTACATACAGTACATAACAATTGTTGAAGCTAATACACAATAAAGCCCAATGGCTTATTAGGCTCTGGTTCATTCTTTCAGTGCTTTAAACTTTGTTTAGGTTACATATTATTAGATTGTGTAGACAGTCTGAAAAGGTTGACAGTACGGTCTGGTAAACTAAAGCTAATTCTGACATTTTGTGTATGACCATATCATAAGTAGTTTTTACCTGTTCATTAATGTTAAACTTTCCTTTCCTCTTTCATGGTGATCTCTTCTACGACCTTCAGAGGGAGATTTTCCCACCCGATGAGAAGATGCATGTAAGTGTGTGAATAATGTCACGTTATTATGCCAACAGTTACACATCTCTCTTGATTTAGGAACAATGAAGTATGACATCAATGCCTACCAATAGTGACACTTTTGGAGAGGGAAGATTTGAGGTTAAAGGAATATCCCACTCCCAATACAATTGAACATAATATGGAATATCCCTTTTAAGAACTGTTTTGATTTGGTGGGAGATTGAAGGACTGGGGATGTTGTATTTGTTGTCAATGTCTCTGTCCTCAAAGTTGAAAATCTATAAATAGTTTAACGGTTTTGATTGACAGTGGTAGATTATGACTGAATGATCTGTGTTACAGAGGAAAGAGCTGGAGGACTTCAAAGAGCGGATGCGAGACCGCAAGGAGCGGCGGCTACTGAAACGGATGGCCTTGGAGGAGGCAGAGAAGGAGTGAGGGGGACGATGACCCCAATACCCAATCAGCAGCCTGTTTTTTTCTACTTGTTGTTCCACAGGATGGGGGAGCAGTGTCTCTGTCAGGCCCGGGGACTGGAACATGTGCTGTGTCACAAAAGGCACCCTATTACCTATTTAGTATACTACTTTGACCATGGCCCATAGGGCTTTGGTAAAACGTAGTGCTCTATATAGGAAGAAGGGTGCCATTTGGGGCTATACTAGACACCCTTTGGGAGGGTGTGCTGTGCTTGAGGGCGACCTTCAAGTTACCCCTTTGAACTGAAAAGTCTCACTGAAAAGCTTTTTATGAAATGCTTTATTTCACTGCAATCAAACTACAACTTCACTGTTGAGGATCTGCTCTGCGATGGTGTTAATGTAAACCTTGGGTGTGTATGATTGTCTCATAAAAAATATGTGTGAATGAAATATGAGGACAGAATCATGTGGCTTGGAATATTATTTATTTGTATGATTTATAATGTCTTTTGTACATGGATGTTTCAACACTGTCCTTCATTAAAGTATAAATGTGTCTTTGCTGAACATCTTCAGTTTGTTTTGTGATGACTTAGTTCGGAAGATGACCATTCTGGTCTAGAAACAGTATGATGTCACAAAGCCCCTGTGTTGTGATTTGGACCATGCTATGATGTCATTTTATGGCTGAGTTTAGAATCTGGCAGGTAATAGCTGAAAATATCCAATGAGAACACAGATTTTCATTTTCTGTCGTAAAACGTTTCACTACAGTTTGCGCTAAAGAACACAACCCTGCATGTAGTTACCTACTGTATCTGCCCTCTAATAAGTCAAGTTGTATAGAGGCCTGTGGAGACAGGACAATGGAGGCTAGTAGGCGTTTGGCAGCTCTCCTGCATACCCGCACAGTGCTCGGGAAACACTTCTGGACGCACAACTTCTCCGTCTCCCTACTTTTGGATGAGCTGGGCAATGTGCCACGAGTCACGGGGTTGATTTTCTGCAAAGTTCGCTTGCTTGATGGCTCCTTTACTGAGGAATCTCCAAGGTGAGCATGGAGGGGGGGTACAGCAGAAATATGGTGTTGTCACCAACTCGAGAGCAAGGGAGCTTGTAGTTAAATCTCAAGTCTTTCCTCGATTCCTCACGTTCTCTCGTCTCCTGAAAATGGAAGCAAGGACAGCATTAGAGTCAAACATCCAGCATTTGAAGAAAGACTTAAGATTCACCCACAGTTACAGAAATACTATTTCAAGGTGTGTTTGTGTGTAACCCACAGACTGGAAGTTCTGCACAACTCAGTGCAATGGGGAAAGATGTTTGAATTTGAGTGCAGAATTGCAGTCAACAGCTTGTCTGGAGTCTTGGATGACTGCATGTGTAGACTGTCAGTTCGCAAGGTTAGTTAACTTATCATAAATAAGAGGCTCTCCCTGGAAAACAGTGTATGTGTCCCCCAAATGGCACCCTATTCCCTATATAGTGCACTACATGGGGAATAGTGTGCCATTTAGGATGCATAATGGCAATTGTTACGAAGTGGAGTAAAATTAGATAAAATCTCCCATCTAGGTAAAACAGCATACAGTGAGGGAAAAAAGTATTTGATCCCCTGCTGATTTTGTACGTTTGCCCACTGACAAAGAAATGATCAGTCTATAATTTTAATGGTAGGTTTATTTGAACAGTGAGAGACAGAATAACAACAACAAAATCCAGAAAAACGCATGTCAAAAATGTTATGAATTGATTTGCATTTTAATGAGGGAAATAAGTATTTGACCCCCTATCAATCAGAAAGATTTCTGGCTCCCAGGTGTCTTTTATACAGGTAACGAGCTGAGATTAGGAGCACACTCTTAAAGGGAGTGCTCCTAATCTCAGCTTGTTACCTGTATAAAAGACACCTGTCCACAGAAGCAATCAATCAATCAGATTCCAAACTCTCCACCATGGCCAAGACCAAAGAGCTCTCCAAGGATGTCAGGGACAAGATTGTAGACCTACACAAGGCTGGAATGGGCTACAAGACCATCGCCAAGCAGCTTGGTGAGAAGGTGACAACAGTTGGTGCGATTATTTGCAAATGGAAGAAACACAATAGTACTGTCAGTCTCCCTCGTCCTGGGGCTCCATGCAAGATCTCACCTCGTGGAGTTGCAATGATCATGAGAATGGTGAGGAATCAGCCCAGAACTACACGGGAGGATCTTGTTAATGATCTCAAGGCAGCTGGGACCATAGTCACCAAGAAAACAATTGGTAACACACTACGCTGTGAAGGACTGAAATCCTGCAGCACCCACAAGGTCCCCCTGCTCAAGAAAGCACATATACAGGCCCGTCTGAAGTTTGCCAATGAACATCTGAACGGTTCAGAGGAGAACTGGGTGAAAGTGTTGCGGTCAGATGAGACCAAAATCGAGCTCTTTGGCATCAACTCAACTCGCCGTGTTTGGAGGAGGAGGAATGCTGCCTATGACCCCAAGAACACCATCCCCACCGTCAAACATGGAGGTGGAAACATTATACTTTGGGGATGTTTTTCTGCTAAGGGGACAGGACAACTTCACCGCATCAAAGAGACGATGGACGGGGCCATGTACCGTTAAATCTTGGGTGAGAACCTCCTTCCCTAAACCAGGGCATTGAAAATGGGTCGTGGATGGGTATTCCAGCATGACAATGACCCAAAACACACGGCCAAGGCAACAAAGGAGTGGCCCAAGAAGAAGCACATTAAGGTCCTGGAGTGGCCTAGCCAGTCTACAGACCTTAATCCCATAGAAAATCTGTGGAGGGAGCTGAAGGTTCGAGTTGCCAAACGTCAGCCTCGAAACCTTAATGACTTGGAGAAGATCTGCAAAGAGGAGTGGGACAAAATCCCTCCTGAGATGTGAAAACGTGGTGGCCAACTACAAGAAACGTCTGACCTCTGTGATTGCCAACATGGGTTTTGCCACCAAGTACTAAGTCATGTTTTGCAGAGGGGTCAAATACTTATTTCCCTCATTAAAATGCAAATCAATTTACAACATTTTTGACATGCGTTTTTCTGGATATGTTTGTTGTTATTCTGTCTCTCACTGTTCAAATAAACCTACCATTAAAATTATAGACTGATCATGTCTTTGTCAGTGGGCAAACGTACAAAATCAGCAGGGGATCAAATACTTTTTTCCCTCACTGTACATAAAATGAGACGTTCCAGTTCAGAATCTTATTCAAATGTGCTGAAGGAAAGATAAATTATGAAAAAGATGAAACAACCTGTTCTTCTCTTCATTCAGGACACAAAGGGAGGAAAGTCATACCAAAAGGTACGTTTGAGAGGAGAATGACCACTGTTCCACATGTTCATGGGCAAGCTCCCAACATACAGCATAGTAGGGGCTTGCTTACACTTATCCAGACCCTTTAGATGGGCAGATATGGAAGGTATAGATGCATGAGGGTTGTTTTTTCCGTAGTGCATCAGTTTTTCTCACACCTTCAGTCATAATATCGCCCCAATTTCCATGTTATTTGTATTAGGTGGGTTATGCCGACCTCAACCTGTCTGAGTATGCAGGCTCTGGGTATGTGACCCGACACTGCCTCCTAGAGGGATATATGAACAAGGACAACAAGCTGGACAACTCCCTTCTCAAGGTAAGTCAATTATTTAGGTCCAAATGGGACCCTACTCCCTTTATAGTGCACTCCTTTTGACCAGAGCCCCATAGTTCCTGGTCAAAAGTAGTGCACTATAAAGGTGAATAGGAAAAGTAGACAGTCCTTAGACAGCACTGCTTAAGTCATAGTGAAAGAAAAAAAGTGTGTGCTCTTAGAGAAATTGAAGTTTGCAGTTGATAAGTACATTTTGTGAAAACAAAGTCTTGCAACAAAACCAATCCTGTATAACATATTTGTAACTTATTGGTTACCTGTACAGGTGGGCCTACAGATGCAGCTGCTTCAGGGAGACCCATGTTTCAGAGTGTGAGGATATTATTAATTGCATTGATCAACTATTATTCACTAATACGGTATTATGGATGTTATTGTACATAAACTACCAATATTCAACCATCTTTTCATTTATATTAATTTCCCAACTTTGATTACAATATGCTGCCGATTATAGTCTTTGTCATTCTCCTGTTTGTGCTCTCCTCAGTCCTACCCACCATTCACTTCCAAACGGAACTTTGTCATCTGAGAATGTTGAGCAGCCCAGAGAAAGCACATCCAGTCACTCTGAGCCTGGTATGTGTAACCAGCCAGGGTTTGGACCCGTGCTACAAGACTGTGTTAAGCTGCTGAGCTAAAGCCTAGGCATTAGCTCGGGAAGCTAACACAAATCTGTAGGTCTTAGACTTGTGTGGTTAACCTAACGACCTCTGTTTAATATGCTTGTACTTATCAGGCAAACACACCAACTCACAGAGATGCACCAATTAACTATCCTCATCAAACTGCAACCACCAAAGATCATTTGGCATTTGAAGTAAACCCCACAATGTATTTCACTCAGGTTAAAATCAAATCAAATGTTATTGGTCACATATATACGTGTTTAGCAGATGTTATTGCGGGTGTATCTCTGTAAGTCGCTCTGGATAAGAGCGTCTGCTAAATGACGTAAATGTAAATGTAAATGTAGCGAAATGCTCATCAGAGGACACCCTGAGAAGGCAGCTGGCGATGAAGGGTGGGCTGCTGCTGGATTCCATGCCCAGTCAGAACCCGGAGGCGCAGGAGAGGGCCAGAGTTGCCGGTCAGTTGACTCGGGTCGGGAACACACGGGTGGATGCCAAGGATGTGGTTGAAAATCTCTGTCTGGAGAGCTTGGGCTCAGTATTTGAGCTCCCTGCTCCCATGGAAGGTACTTTGAACTTGATGCTGGTTTCAAGAACACAGATTAGTAAAAGCATGGCATACTACTCAATAGAGAATGCTAATGCTTAGTATCTATATCTATTACAGAAGCTGGACTTGCACTCTTTGTTGGTCAGGATGGCACCACAACCCTTGGTGTCAGTCACATACAGAACCGGTAGCCTATTGGAGATGGATCTCAACTGATCGTTGAAATGTCATATGTTGATTCTAATGTAATGAGATTACGATTCTTAATTGGATTTGTAGTGATGCCCCACTCTGTCTCAACAGGGACTCCCATGCTGGAAGTTTAGAGAATGTCATCATAATGAAATAAAGATGTTGAAATAAAGATGTTTCACACCCAAACAACAAGAAAATCGTATTTTCTTTGCGCCTACCCTATATCAGAGACCTACTGTAGATGACAATGTTTTAATGAAAATTAACTAATGAAGAATATGAATAACACTTTAGTCAAATTGGAATTCTAATTTACTTATTTATTTTGAGTGCATTTTAATGTACTTCTAACACTTTTCTATCTTTGAAAAACGAAGCGGACATGACGTAGGTGTTATGATGATGTTAGCCAGTTAAAATGTTTCATTGAAAAAGAATCGACAACACGGAAGTGTCAAGATGGCTCCAAGCGGACTGAAGGCGTTAGTCGGAGAGAGTAAGTGAAAAAACTTGTCAATTTTATAATTCTCAACTCTCTAATGTTCGACGTTCCGCGGTAGAAATCGTGCCTTTTTGATACCATCATGCTTTTAGTTTGTTGTCACTAAAATTAAGAACATAAAACATCCAAACAAACTGCCTGGCTAGTTAGCGATACACATAGCCTTCGTCACTCAAGCAAGTTGCTTCCTTAGTTGTACGCTAGTAATGCCTGGACATGGTATATTGCTTGCTGTCATTAGGCTATTTAAAATAGAAATATAAAATGTGACTGGGAAGGGTATGCCTCATCACTAGTAGTTGTATTTCAAGTAGGCTCTAAAACTTGAATGTTTTGCTGACTTTATCATGGAAGCTATGATGGGAACAATAGGGCAAGTTGGGTGTAGCTAGTTGATTGTGGGCTGTCTTGTGATCAACCATGCATGTGAACGAAGACAATGTGTACCTACTACCTGTGTAAGTTCATTTTCCTTAGCCTTTTACTACCCAATTAGTTACTGTTTGACACTGGCTAACAAACTCCATCTGGGTCAACTTTAAGAGATCTCTGTAAAATATGGAACCAGGAAAAAACAGATTCCAGACCCTAGACTACTATTGTCTATTAACTTATTTTTTGCCTCTTGCCAGGCCATCATTGTAAATAAAAATGTGTTCTTAATTGACCCCCCCCCCCAGGTAAAATAAACACCACTACTCATTCTAAATCTAAAATGTAACATAGTTGTTGGACAAATTTCAGTTTTGTTACTGTAATATTTCATTCTTCCTCTCATTCCTCATCTCTTAAGAAATCCTGAATGGAGTTATCAAAAGTGTGAAGAAGGATGGAGAATGGAAGGTATTGTAAAACATTTTTTTGTGTTGCTCTGAAAAGATTCAGGTCAAAATACATCATGTCTGACTCTGTCAAATTGTCAATCATAATAGCCTAAAGATCAATTGAATATTAATGAATAACGCCCATCTCTGTTTGTCCAGGTGCTCATTGTGGACCACATCAGCATGCGAATCCTGTCCTCCTGCTGCAAGATGTCAGATATCATGGCAGAGGGGGTGACTAGTAAGTGTTGGGATGGCCAGTGGGCTAAGGCTACTTTTATTTGTCAATAACTATTTATTATATCAAGGGACACCCCAGGCATCATTTTAAGTATACCTGGGTTCAAACAGTATTTGTTTTCTTTCAAATACTTAAGCTGCGCTCGACTGAGATTGTCTGGTGCAATGGAATAAATAAATAAATAAATACTATTTGAATCCAGGTATGGGTCAGAGTATGAGGAGGTGAGAGTCTGTGGAGATGTTCTTCAGTTAGGATGCACAGTCCCTAACTGATCTACCTTTTCCTACCCCAGTTGTGGAGGACATCAACAAGCGCAGGGAGCCCATCTCCAGCCTGGAGGCCATTTATCTGATCTCCCCTTCAAAGAAGGTGAGAAGTGTGTTTCCCCTGCCATTCCCCCTTTAACTATGTCATCAACTGCTATATCCTGTACTGCTGTAAAGCCATCTTACGCTCTTTGTCTTCTTCTTTTTCTCTCACCTGTGCGTGTGCGCGTGTGGAAATTCTCAGTCGGTTCATGCTCTTATCAATGACTTCAAAGAGACGGCTTTCACCTACAAAGCGGCGCACATCTTCTTCACAGACAGTAAGACCATTTGTTTTAAAGTGTTATAAAACTTCATCAAAACTATACTCTTCCATCGTCTGATACCAAAAAATGTGGTGTTTTGTCATTTTGGTCACGTCTCTCTTGAAAGGAGATTCTAAATCTTAATGAGATTAACCTTGTAAAATCTCTAAAAGCATGAATATATTTTAAAAGAATACAAAATAACAGTTGGTTTTGTGCCAATCACCTATCCTGCAGATTGCCCAGATGCTCTGTTTGCTGAGATTGGGAGGGCCAGAGTTGCCAGAGTCATCAAGACTCTGAAGGAGATCAACGTGGCTTTCCTGCCGTACGAGTCCCAGGTGGGTACCTACCTACAGCACCTTCTTTGAACTTCGCTCAACTCTGGTCCAATGGCCAAATTGCCGAAGGTCCAGTGAAGTATCCAGTGACATTGCCCAGTAATTGTAGGCTGGCTGAGGGAAGGAGGTTCTCACCCAAGATTTGACGGTACATGGCCCGTCCATCGTCCCTTTGATGCGGTGAAGTTGTCCTGTCCCCTTAGCAGAAAACCACCCCCAAAGCATAGTGTTTCCACCTCCATGTTTGACGGTGGGGATGGTGTTCTTGGGGACATAGGCAGCATTCCTCCTCCTCCAAACACGGCAAGTTGAGTTGATGCCAAAGAGCTCTATTTTGGTCTCATCTGACCACAACACTTTCACCCAGTTCTCCTCTGCATCATTCAGATGTTCATTGGCAAACTTCAGATGGGCATGTATATGTGCTTTCTTGAGCAGGGGGACCTTGCGGCGCTGCAGGATTTCAGTCCTTCACGGCGTAGTGTGTTACCAATTGTTTTCTTGGTGACTATGGTCCCAGCTGCCTTGAGATCATTGACAAGATCCTCCCGTGTAGTTCTGGGCTGATTCCTCACCGTTCTCATGATCATTGCAACTCCACGAGGTGAGATCTTGCATGGAGCCCTAGGCTGAGGGAGATTGACAGTTCTTTTGTGTTTCTTCCATTTGCGAATAATCGCACCAACTGTTGTCACCTTCTCACCAAGCTGCTTGGCGATGGTCTTGTAGCCCATTCCAGCCTTGTGTAGGTCTACAATCTTGTCCCTGACATCCTTGGAGAGCTCTTTGGTCTTGGCCATGGTGGAGAGTTTGGAATCTGATTGATTGATTGCTTCTGTGGAGAGGTGTCTTTTATACAGGTAACAAACTGAGATTAGGAGCACTCCCTTTAAGAGTGTGCTCCTAATCTCAGCTCGTTACCTGTATAAAAGACACCTGGGAGCCAGAAATCTTTCTGATTGAGAGGGGGTCAAATACTTATTTCCCTCATTAAAATGCAAACCAATTTATAACATTTTTTACATGCGTTTTGTTGTTGTTATTCTATCTCTCACTGTTCAAATAAACCTACCATTAAAATTATAGACTGATCATTTCTTTGTCAGTGGGCAAACATACAAAATCAGCAGGGGATCAAATACTTTTTTCCCTCACTGTATCTCTAATATGGTCATACATTTGGCAGGAGGTTAGGAAGTGCAGCTCAGTTTCCACCTCATTTTGTGGGCAGTGTGCACATAGCCTGTCTTCTCTTGAAAGCCAGGTCTGCCTACGGCGGCCTTTCTCAATAGCAAGACTATGCTCACTGAGTCTGTACATAGTCAAAGCTTTCCTTAGGTTTGGGTCAGTCACAGTGGTCAGGTATTCTGCCACTGTGTACTCTCTGTTTAGAGCCAAATAGCATTCTAGTTTGCTCTGTTTTTTTGTTAATTCTTTCCAATGTGTCAAGTAATTATCTTTTTGTTTTCTCATGGGTCTAGTTGTGTTGTTGTCTCGCTCTCTCGCTCTCTGTCTCTCTGTCTCACGCCCTTCCTGTCCCTTCTCTATTCTAGGTATTTTCCCTGGACGATCCCAGCTCCCTGCACTCGTTCTACAGTCCAGTTGGAGAGGGGAATAAAGACAGAATGATGGAGACTCTGGCAGAGCAGATCGCCACCCTCTGTGACACCCTGAAGGAGTACCCTGCCATCCGCTTCCACAGGTACCTATACACTCCATACCCTAACTTACAGACAGGTCTGATAAATACAGGCATGAAGGTGCTACCAGAGGTTTCAGTGGGAGTTGGGTGCTCATCTGAGTAAATAGATACTTTTAGTCCTCCAATAGTGGGCAACACCCCAAATGGATCTTTTTCAAAGCTCATCACACAGGTCTTACATACAGAGCCTGTCTTCAATGATCACTTTCTCTTGGGTACTTGAGTGTCTTGCAAGTTATATGCCACTTACACTCTCTCTCTTTCTCTCTCTCCCTCTACCATAGCGGTCCTGAGGAGAATGCCAGACTGGCTGAGGAGGTGTATCAGCGTCTGAACGCCCATAAAGCAGACAACCCCAGCATGGGAGAGGTGAGGAGAGGAGACGCCAACGCCTCACCACCTCTCACAATACACAACACTTCTTTACGGTACTAATAGTACCATGTCTGCTTGGTTCAAAATGACCGTTCACTCCCTACGCCAATTGAAAATACACTGCGTTGAATGACTTCTATCTGAAACCATCAAATGCTTTGTATTTATGATACTAGGCTTATGATATGGTTATTGAAGCATTTTGAAAGTGTTACATCTATGGGAGTTTCTCATAGCTCCTTACTTTCTCACTTGATTTCCTGTAAATTATCTTTCACACTCTCTACTGCTCGGCTACTTTTTCTCTCCTTTTCTGTCTTTCCTAGCTGGCATTTCCTTAAGCCTGTGTTGGACCTTTGAAGGCATGTATTCATTTGATATAATTTATCTTTCTGATATTATCTTCTCCATGGTCCTTCTGCCTCAGTACCCAGCACAGTAACACCATTTTCACACTCGTGCAGAACCGTACTGTGCTGGCTTGGATATGTTTTTTTCACAACAAAATATCCACTGTGGTGTGTGCATAAGCAGGCCAGCACAGTACAGTGTGAAAAGGGTATTAGAATACACATGGCATAGATATTTTCTTGTTATTGTGATGGTACTTTAGGAAAAAAATTGAATGTGTAAATGGCTGGGGGAACAAAACTCTTCTGAATGTGGTAAAGTCTGATAGTGGCACTGACTGGGCGATGTCTTGGTAAAACCTGTTACCCAAAAGCATTCCTGACATTGTATTGTGGAGCTAGAGACAATAGATTTAATCTAAAACAATATGCCCTGTCTGCCAAAGCATTGAAGTGGTTAACTGGTCATTACAAAGTGACATTTCTAGGTATAATTTCTTGCCCTGACGTGAAATGTCTGATGTGTTTTCAGGGTCCTGACAAGGCCAGGTCTCAGCTGTTGATTGTGGACCGTGGCTTTGACCCCATCTCTCCCATTCTGCACGAGCTGACTTTCCAGGCCATGGTCTATGACCTTCTGGACATCAAACAGGACATCTACAAGTAGGCTTAGTTTGGCAACCTATTCCTAATATAGTGCACTACTTTTGACCAGGGCCCATGATGACCATATGGAAAATGCTAAACAGACACTCCTGCAAACGATACTTAATTTCAGAATTGGTAAAATTTAGCTTAAGGTTAAGGGTCAGTTTTACATTTTGGTTAGTCGTTTTACAGGTTAGGAGTGTCCTAATAACCTTTCTCCTACCATATTATTTGTGTTGTCAATGTAGCTATACATAGTACCAATGTATACTTACGTACCATACCATCAGTAGAAGAAGGTATCTGTCATATGGTATCCCTGTATAACGGCTGTTATTGTGTGTGTTCTAGATATCAGACGACTGGGATCGGGGACTCCAAGGAGAAGGAGGTTCTCCTGGACGAAGACGATGAGCTGTGGGTCCAGCTGAGACACATGCACATAGCTGACGTCACCAAGTAAGACACACTATCATTAAGATGACCTACAACTAGTGTTTTTAACTGATCTAACCTCTAATAAGAGATTACATGATCCAGAGTTGTTTGAGGTAAGTTTAGTGTTCTATTCAGGAAGTGAATTGTAAAAATGTAATATAATGAATTCTCTTTCTTGAATTGAACACTGAATTGAACCCAACCCTGGGATAGTCTCTGTCAGATGTTGCTCATTGTTCGTGTTCCAGGAAAGTGACGGAGCTGCTGCGTGTGTTCTGTGAGAGCAAGAGGATGTCCACTGATAAGGCTAATATCAAAGACCTGTCTCAGATGCTGAAGAAGATGCCACAGTACCAGAAGGAACTCAGCTTGGTGGGTGTTCCTTGTCTTTCCATCTAAAATCAGTTGATTGGTTGAGATTGGCTTTCATGACATGTCTCTCCAGTGATCACATACTGTCAGCCTAAATGTAAACCGATGATGTATTCACTTTTATAGCATATAGATAATCACCCAGATTTTTTGGCAAAGACGTGGGCCATGTTCCAATGTGGGCCATGTTTTCTCTCCCTGCTACGCTGAAAGCTTAGTGCAAGCTACTTTATCCTATTGTTCTCTGGAGTGAATTTTACGCTCAAGGGGCGCGAGCCTGATTTAATTGAAATGAATAGGAGCGTATTACCCTCTGCAAACGTTGCGCATCCGGTGTAGCAGGCCACTTATAATGCATGCCCAATACATTTCTTCATTCTACAGTGCCTTCAGAAAGTATTCACACCCCTTGACTTTTTCCACATTTTGTTGTGTTACAGCCTGAATTTAAAATGGATTAAATGTAGATTTTTTGTCACTGGTCTACAGACAATACCCCATAATGTCAAAGTGGAATTATGTTTTTAGAAACTTTTACAAATTAATTAAAAATCAAACGCTGAAATGTCTTGAGTCAATAAGTATTCAACCCCGTGGTTATGGCAAGCCTAAATACGTTCAGGAGTAAAAATCTGCTTAACAAGTCGCATAATAAGTTGCATGGACTCACTTTGTGTGCAATAATAGTGTTTATCATGACTTTTGAATGACTACCTCATCTCTGTACCCCACACATACAATTATCTGTAAGGTCCCTCAGTCGAGCAGTGAATTTCAAACAGAGATCCAACCACAAAGACCAGGGTGATGTTCTAATGCCTCGCAAAGAAGGGCACCTATTGGTAGATTTAAAAATATATATATATACTTTTTAAAAAAAAAAATTTTTTAAAGCAGACACTGAATATCCCTTTGAGCATGGTGAAGTTATTAATTACACTTTGGATGGTGTATCAATACACCCAGTCACTACAAAAATACAGGCGTCCTTCCTAACTCAGTTGCCGGAGAGGAAGGAAACCGCTCAGGGATTTCACCATGTTACAGAGACTGTGATAGGAGAACTGAGGATGGATCAACAACATTGTAATTACTCCACAATACTAACGTAATTGACAGAGGGAGAAGAAGGAAGCCTGTACAGAACAAAAATATTCCAAAACATGCATCCTGTTTGGAACAAGTCACTAAAGTAATACTGCAAAACATTTTGCTAACCAATTTACTTTTTGTCCTGAATACAAAAAGTGTTATATTTGGGGCAAATCCAATGCAACACATTACTGAGTACCACTCTCCATATTTTCAAGCATAGTGGTGGCTGCATCATGTTATAGGTATCCCTGTAATCGTTAAGGACTGGGGAATTTTTCAGGATTATAAAAGAAGCAGAATGGAACAAAGCACAGGCAAAATCCTAGAGAAACTTGTTTCAGTCTGCTTTCCTCTAGACACTGGGAGATGAATTCACCTTTCAGCAGGACAATATCCTAAAACACAAGGCCAAATCTACACTGGAGAAGACGGTGAATGTTCCTGAGTGGCCAAGTTACAGTTTTGACTTAAATCTACTTGAAAATCTATGGCAAGACCTGAAAATGTTTGTCTAGCAATGATCAACTATCAATTTGACAGAGCTTGAAGAATTGTTTTAATAATAATGGGCAACTGTTGCACAATCCATGTGTGGAAAGCTCTGAGACTTACCCAGGAAGACTCACAGCTGTATAATCACTGCTAAAGGTACTTACATTTACGTCATTTAGCAGACGCTCTTATCCAGAGCGACTTACAAATTGGTGCATTCACCTTATGATAGCCAGTGGGACAACCACTTTACCAATTTTTTATTTTATTTTTTTGAGTATATTATAGTTTTATATAGTTTTTATATAGTTTTATATATTATTATTATTTAAAAACAATTGTGGGGTGGGGTGGGGGGGGGGGGGTAGAATGATTATTTTATACTATCCCAGGTATTCCTTAAAGAGGTAGGGTTTCAAGTGTCTCCGGAAGGTGGTCAGTGACTCCGCTGTCCTGGCGTCGTGAGGGAGCTTGTTCCACCATTGGGGTGCCAGAGCAGCGAACAGTTTTGACTTCTACAAAGTATTTACTCAGGGGTGTGAATACTTGTGTAAATGAGATACTGTATTTCATTTTCCCAAAAAAATCCAAAATGTATAAAAACATGTTTTCATTGTGTCATTATGGGGTAGTGTGTGTAGATGGATGAGAACTGCAATTGAATCCATTTTGAATTCAGGCTGTAACAACAAAGTGGAGTATTATGATAGTGTGGAGTGATGACATCAACTTGTTAGAAGTGAATAAGTAATGCGTTTGTTTTGATTTGCAGTACTCCACTCACCTGCATCTGGCTGAGGCCTGCATGAAGAAATTCAAAGCCTCGGTTGACAAGCTGTGTGAGGTGGAACAGGTCAGTGTTGCTACAAAACAAGTCACAAATGGCAGCCTATTCTCTATGTAGTGCACTACTTTTGACCAAGGCCCATAGGGATCTGATCAAAAGTAGTGCGCTATATAGGGAATAGGGTGCCGTCAAGCTCCCTCCCTCTCTTATGAAACCATATGCAAATGACCTGGCAGGTACACCCAGGAGCATGTTTTTGATTCTCTGATGTGTAGACGCAGCCTGTTTTATTCAACCTTTATTTAACCAGCAAGACCCTTGAGATGAATCATCTGTTTTTCGAGAGCGACCTATAGCATTTTAATTATATGTTTGTAGGTTCTTTTGATTTTTATATGTTTGTGTTCTATGATTTTCCCATATTTCCTGACATCATCCTTTCTACAGTGAAATGTTTCTTTTCCCAAACCGATATCATCCTCTTCCTTGTTTTCTATATAATATTTAATAATGTAATATTACCTTGAATAATCACATCCCTGGTTGTAAGCCTTAGGTGGTTAAACCATGAATGACCAGGTCACCATGATAATGTTGTGCTGTTGTGTAATATATTTTAATATGTAGGATTATCGTATCATATAATAAGACTCCCACTCCCGCATACTCACCCCATCTAGCCTCCACTGGGGTGCTGATCTCCCCACGCTCCCATCTCTGTTTTTACCACTCTGTTGCTCTTAAAAGCTTCATAGGCTGCTGCATCCCAAATGGCACCCTATTCACTAGTGCACTACTTTTGAACAGAGCCCTATGTGTCCTGGTCAAAAGTAGTGCACTATATAGGGAATAGGGTGCCATTTGAGACGCAGCCGTAGTGTGACGCTGTCTGGCGGCCTAGCCGGCATCCACTTCACTCTGCTATCTTTATGTAGTAATGTTGTGTAAAGGGCTTGAGATGAGGCGCATCTGGATCAACTGTCCCTCTCTGAACCTACAGTAATGCACAGGAAGCTGTTATTATGTCATACCTAGTCTTTTAAAGACCATTAATGTTGCCAGGCTGTTATTACTGCATCCATCCATCAATCCTACACCATAAGGCATCATACATCTCAGACTATAACCCTTTCCTTGTTCCCAGAACAGCTCCTACTTTCTCCCTCAACACATTTACTGCGTCCCAAATGGCACCCTATTCCCTAATTTAGTGCATTACTAATAGCGTGCCTTTTGGGATGCAAGCATTGTTTTGGTCTTAATGGTTCTAATAGCTCCGCTCAAGTTTGTTTCATAGTCTTTAATATAGTAGGTTTAGTGGTCGATCAGTTGAGACATACCTAGCATGTCCAGGAGTGATATAATCTGGGTATGCTTGTGGGGTAAGGATCTGAAGTGTTAATGCACTGATGTGTGACTAAGGGGGAAGACTTAAAGGCATCATTCTATGAGTGTTGTTGATTGTTGTTTTCCCCATATGTTTCTCAGGACCTGGCCATGGGGACTGATGTAGACGGGGAACCCCTGAAGGATGCCATGAAGAGCATCGTCCCCGTACTCCTCAACACCGACATCGACCCCTACGACAAGATCCGCATCATACTGCTCTATATCTTCCACAAGAAGAAGGGTAGGTCAACAGAATAGCGCTGGCTGCATGATCCCAATCTCTGCTTTCTGTCAATGCATGGTCAAGATCCACTCAGCAGGTACAGCTAAATGAGTGTTTCTAATATGATACCACACAGCTACTACTCTACCTAACTGCTATTGAAATGAAATGATAGCTTTCCTGAACAGCTCTATAAGATCAATGAACTTGATCACATTTTTTGGTGTGGATGTATATGTTTGTGGATGTTGGCCTGAGGAGCAGATGGGGATCTTTTAGGTTGAGAGCTTGTGGTTACTGTTGATCCCCGGGGGATGACAACAGGCTAGCTAATGAAGCAGTTTTGATTCGGGTAATTTGGTGATGAGTCGTCACTCATTCTCCAGCTCTACTCTGTATAATGGGGGTCTCGTAACACACAGGCATTGGAGAGGAGAACCTGACCAAGTTAATCCAGCATGCCAATGTGCAGGCAAACAGCAACATCATCACCAACCTACAGCACCTGGGCTGTCCCATCATCGCTGGGGTTAGTAAGGCTCTGTCTCTGTCCTGTGTCTGTCTCTGTCTGTTGCTCTCTCACACGTTTTTGGGCTGAACAAATGCCTCTCTTTACAGTGAAGCCTTTTTTCCCTTGTTATATTTGAAGGATGTGAAATGTTGTGTTTCAGGCTCCCAATGCTGGGAAAACACTGCCTGAGAAGAAAGAGCGCAAGGAGAGCACGTACCAGCTCTCCCGATGGACACCCACCATCAAAGACGTGATGGAGGTATGGAGGAGGAAATGGATAAACAGACAGTGTGGTAGAGGACAACCAGACCCGTTCCATATAGACCTGGTCGGACCCGGTCCGATCCGAGTGAGGGAAGCAGCAGAAAAGTCCATTTTTTAAGATCCTTTATTAACCGGAGCTGATAAAGCGTGAGGGAGAGAGAGGTGCCGCTCTAGCAGGGGCCGTGCTGTGTGTGTACTCTGAGAGGGAGGGAGAGACGCCAAGCAGACTCGTGCTATAGTAGACTAATAGCTGCCATAGCTAGGTTATTTATCATTCAATATGGTTACGTAGTACCTGTCTTGACTGCATCAAACCGGAAGCTAGTCTAATTGAGGCTGCATGCACTTCCTTGTCCTAACAACTCCATTCAGATTATTAAGTAGCAGCCTACCTGTTGGCTCTTGGTCATTGTAGCCTTTCGTTCTCCTTTAACAATTAATTTTATCATTTTAATTCCATTGATTAGATATCGCCTAACTTTTGACCGACACGGAGGCTCTGACTGTAGCTTATTGCTGCTTTGATGACTTATGATTGGCCAACAACAAGCTCCATGGGCCACTCTGGTGAAAAACAAGAGCAGCAGCATAAATTATACAATTTCTCCCTCCTGCAGCAGCCGCGTTCGGGTCTGTACGGGTGCTTCTGGACAAGTCGGTTAAAATTGCATATACCCATGACAATAATATCAGATAAGACCCGTGACATAATTTAGAATTCTGGATCCGTCTCGGGTATTTGGGTATAGGTGGATCCGTGAACAGCTAACTGAAGACAGGACGGCCGGGCAGTTGAGTCTGTTTCGGCGGTAACATGGACTCTAAACAAAGTGATTGCTGAAACAAGCAACAAAAAACACCCCCCACAATGCAGCATCAGCACACATAGAAATAGAATGAATAGAAGTGGCTTGGAACATATAACCCTGGCAATTTGACTGGTAAACTCATGGGTACATTCGCAATGGCTTCCTGATATAGACCCAGTCGGTATTAGATTTATGTCGCAACCCTCCCCGTCTGTGGGGAAGACAACCTGTGGTTACTCCAGTGGCTCACAGCAAAAACGTGACCTTTTTCAACCACAATTTCCTTGTTTTAGTCAATTACAAAACTACATTTAAGAAAAGTACATATCTGAAGATTACTTTTCAACATTGACTGCTCTCTAGCGTTCTCACGACTTAGAAAAACATAAGGCTTCCCACATCCCCCTTTTCCGTCATGACGATGCTAGCTAGCAGCCACGTGAGTGAGTGAGTGCTAGCTACTGACCACAACATTAAGCTAGCCAAGACCAACAACACAAACAAACGGACTATACACAAATCACCACACATATTGATGGGTACACTTCCTGCTTTTACTTCCTGCTTTGCTTCTATGGGTACACTCACAATGGCTGCCAGTGTACCCATTTATGCCATCATTGACTTAAATGGGGACACCCGTTCTATTCATTCTATTTCTATGGCAGCACATGCAGTCAGGAGAGGAGAAAATGTGCATCTAAAAAAAAAATGTATTTCATTAAATGTTTTACTATTTGAAAGGTTATTACGAAGACCGCGGTCATTTGGCTAGCCAATTACTGTCATCCAAAAAATGACCGTCACAGCCCAAGTCTGACCAACCGTGTGTCTATTTTTTCCAGAATGCCATCGAGGACAAGCTGGACAGGAAGCAGTGGCCGTTCATCTCTGACCCTGCCCCCATCAACACCATGCAGACGACTGTCAGGTGTGTATTCTGGATACACCACGGGGTGGTGGAGCCACAGCATGGAAGGGGGTGGGGCCGGACCGGGGACAGAGAAGGGGCATGGCCTTATATGAGGCAGATGGATAACCAGGGTCACATACATTAACACTTTAGTCTCAGTTGTCATCTTGAAAATAGAGCTTTGCCGTAGTTACGTGTGCTGGAGAGGTGAAAAGTTAAAGTTGATCCAAACTGCCTATTAGACAGCTTGTGAATAATCTCCCCCGCCACATACCAGGAGTTTTTTTTTTTTTTAGTTTGTTGATATAGCTTGTTCATGTTGGACAGTGCATTCGGAAAGTATTCAGACCTCTGGACTTTTTCCACATTTTGTTACATTACAGCCTTATTCTAAAATGTATTATCAAAACATTTTCCTCATCAATCTACACACAATACCCCCATAAGGACAAAGCAAAAACAGGTTTTTAGAAATGTAAAAAACAGAAATACCTTATTTACGTAAGTATTCAGACCCTTTGCTATGAGTCTCGAAATTGAGCTCAGGTGAATCCTGTTTCCATTGATCATTCTTGAGATGTTTCTACAACTTGATTGGAGTCCACCTGTGGTAAATTCTATTGATTGGACATGATTTGGAAAGGCACACACCTGTCTATATAAGGTCCCACAGTTGACAGTGCATGTCAGAGCAAAAACCAAGGAATTGTGCGGAGAGCTCTAAGACAGGATTGTGTCGAGGCACAGATCTGGGGAAGTGAACCAATAATTATCTGCAGCATTGAAGATCCCCAATAATACAGTGACCTCCATCATTCTTAAATGGAAGAAGTTTGGAACCACCAAGACTCTTCCTAGAGCTGGCCGCCCAGCCAAACTGAGCAATCGGGGGAGAAGGGCCTTGGTCAGGGAGGTGACCAAGAACCCAATGGTCACTCTGACAGAGCTCCAGAGTTCCTCTGTGGAGATGGGAGAACCTTCCAGAAGGACTACCATCTCTGCAGCACTCCACCAATCAGGCCTTTATGGTAGGGTGGCCACTCCTCAGTAAAAGGCACATGACAGCCCGCTTGGAGTTTGCCAAAAGGCACCTAAAGGACTCAGACTATGAGAAACAAGATTCTCTGGTCTGATGAAACCAAGATTGAACTCTTTGGTCTGAATGCCAAGTGTCACATCTGGATAAACCTGGCACCATCCTATGGTAAAGCATGGTTGTGGCAGCATCATGCTGTGGGGATGTTTTTCAGCGGCAGGGACTGGGAGACTAGTCAGGATCGAGGGAAAGTACAGAGAGATTCTTGATGAAAACCTGCTCCAGAGCGCTCAGGAAAATAGCTGTGCAGCGACGCTCCCCATCCAACCTGACAGAGCTTGAGAGGATCTGCAGAGAAGAATGGGAGAAACTCCCCAAATACAGGTGTGCCAAGCTTGTAGCGTCATACCCAAGAAGACTCGAGGCTGTAATCGCTGACAAAGGTGCTTCAACAAAGTACTGAGTAAATGGTCTGAATACTTATGTAAATGTATACATTTTTGTAAATATACACTACCAGTCAAAAGTTTGGACATACCTACTCATTCAAGGGTTTTTCTTTGTTTTTACTATTTTTTACATTGTAGAATAATAATGAAGACATCAAAACTATGAAATAACACATATGGAATCATGTAGTAACCCAAAAAAAATTGCCACCCTTTTGCCTTGATGACAGCTTTGCACACTCTTGGCATTCTCTCAACCAGCTTCACCTGGAATGCTTTTCCAACAGTCTTGAAGGAGTTCCCACATATGCTGAGCACTTGTTGGCTGCTTTTCCTTCACTCTGCGGTCCGACTCATCCCAAACCATCTAAATTGGGTTGAGGTCGGGGGATTGTGGAGGCCAGGTCATCTGATGCAGCACTCCATCACTCTCTCTCTTGGTAAAATAGCCCTTACATAGCCTGGAGGTGTGTTGGGTCATTGTCCTGTTGAAAAACAAATGATAGTCCCGCTAAGCCCAAACCAGATGGGATGGCGTATCGCTGCAGAATGCTGTGGTAGCCATGCTGGTTAAGTGTGCCTTGAATTCTAAATAAATCACAGACAGTGTCACCAGCAAAGCACCCCCACACCATAACACCACATCCTCTGTGCTTTACGGTGGAACTACACATGTGGAGATCATCCGTTCACCCTCACCGCGTCTCAGAAGACACGGCGGTTGGATCCAAAAATCTCCAATTTGGACTACAGACCAAAGGACAAATTTCCACCTGTCTGATGTCCATTGCTTGTGTTTCTTGGCCCAAACAGGTCTCTTCTTCTTATTGGTGTCCTTTTAGTAGTGGTTTCTTTGCAGCAATTCCACCATGAAGGCCTGATTCACACAGTCCCCTCTGAACAGTTGATGTTGAGATGTGTCTGTTACTTGAACTCTGTGAAGCAGGCTGGTAACTCTAATGAACTTATCCTCTGCAGCAGAGGTAACTCTGGGTCTTCCATTCATGTGGCAGTCCTCATGAGAGCCAGTTTCATCATAGCGCTTGGTTTTTGTGACTGCACTTGAAGAAACTTTCAAAGTTCTTGAATTTTTCCGTATTGACTGACCATGTCTTAAAGTAATGATGGACTGTCATTTCTCTTTGCTTATTTGAGCTGTGCTTGCCTTAATATGGACTTAATATGGACGCATTAAGAAGGAAAGAAATTCCACAAATTAACTTTTAAGAAGGCACACTTGTTAATTGAAATGCATTCCAGGTGACCACCTCATGAAGCTGGTTGAGAGAATGCCAAGAGTGTGCAAAGCTGTCATCAAGGCAAAGGGTGGCTATTTGAAGAATCTCAAATATAAAATATGTTTATTTGTTTAACACTGTTTTTGGTTACTACATGATTCCATACGTGTTATTTCATAGTTTTGATGTCTTCACTATTATTCTACAATGTAGAAAATTGTAAAAAATTAAGAAAAACCCTTGAATGAGTATGTGGGTCCAAACTTTTGACTGGTGCTGTACATTTGCTAACATTTCTAAAAACCCGTTTTTGGTTTGTCCTTATGGGGTATTGTGTGTAGATTGATAAGGAAAAAATAACAATTTAATCCATTTTAGAATAAGGCTATAACGTAACAAAATGTGGAAAAAGTCAAGGGGTCTGAATACTTTCCGAATGCACTGTATAAGAGCTCATCTGAATCTCATCTATGGACATAATGGTGTCCCAAATGGCACCTTATTCCCTATATAGTGCACTACGTTTGACCAGAGCCACAGGGAATAGGGGTCGAAAGTTGTGCACCATAGGGTGCCGTTTGGGACGTACACAGACAACTTCCTTCCTGTTCCTGTTCATAGAGCAAAGCACTTTTTGAGGGCAGGGTTTAAGTTCTTGATAAATTGTTTATACACACACACACACACACACACACACACACATCTTCATGGATGCGTCCTAATTTGCACACTATTCCCTTTATAGTGCACTACTTTGGACCAGGGCCCATGGGGCATTGGTCAAAAGTAGAACACTATAGGAAATGGGGTCCCATTTGGGACACACCTATACAGAAATATATGTTATAGAGCAAGGACATCAACAGCTGTTGTCATATTAATGGAATACAGAAGTGTTCATCTGGTGATGTAACTTTGAACGTACAGTGGGGGAAAAAAGTATTTAGTCAGCCACCAATTGTGCAAGTTCTCCCACTTAAAAAGATGAGAGGCCTGTAATTTTCATCATAGGTACACGTCAACTATGACATACATTGAGAAAGAAAAATCCAGAAAATCACATTGTAGGATTTTTAATGAATTTATTTGCTAATTATGGTGGAAAATAAGTATTTGGTCACCTACAAACAAGCAAGATTTCTGGCTCTCACAGACCTGTAACTTCTTCTTTAAGAGGCTCCTCTGTCCTCCACTCGTTACCTGTATTAATGGCACCTGTTTGAACTTGTTATCAGTATAAAAGACACCTGTCCACAACCTCAAACAGTCACACTCCAAACTCCACTATGGCCAAGACCAAAGAGCTGTCAAAGGACACCAGAAACAAAATTGTAGACCTGCACCAGGCTGGAAAGACTGAATCTGCAATAAGTAAGCAGCTTGGTTTGAAGAAATCAACTGTGGGAGCAATTATTAGGAAATGGAAGACATACAAGACCACTGATAATCTCCCTCGATCTGGGGCTCCACGCAAGATCTCACCCCGTGGGGTCAAAATGATCACAAGAGCGGTGAGCAAAAATCCCAGAACCACACGGGGGGACCTAGTGAATGACCTGCAGAGAGCTGGGACCAAAGTAACAAAGCCTACCATCAGTAACACACTACGCCACCAGGGACTCAAATCCTGCAGTGCCAGACGTGTCCCCCTGCTTAAGCCAGTACGTCCAGGCCCGTCTGAAGTTTGCTAGAGTGCATTTGGATGATCCAGAAGAGGTTTGGGAGAATGTCATATGGTCAGATGAAACCAAAATAGAACTTTTTGGTAAAAACTCAACTCGTCGTGTTTGGAGGACAAAGAATGCTGAGTTGCATCCAAAGAACACCATACCTACTGTGAAGCATGGGGGTGGAAACATCATGCTTTGGGGCTGTTTTTCTGCAAAGGGACCAGGACGACTGATCAGTGTAAAGGAAAGAATGAATGGGGCCATGTATCGTGAGATTTTGAGTGAAAACCTCCTTCCATCAGCAAGGGCATTGAAGATGAAACGTGGCTGGGTCTTTCAGCATGACAATGATCCCAAACACACCGCCCGGTCAATGAAGGAGTGGCTTCGTAAGAAGCATTTCAAGGTCCTGGAGTGGCCTAGCCAGTCTCCAGATCTCAACCCCATAGAAAATCTTTGGAGGGAGTTGAAAGTCCATGTTGCCCAGCGACAGCCCCAAAACATCACTGCTCTAGAGGAGATCTGCATGGAGGAATGGGCCAAAATACCAGCAAAAGTGTGTGAACCTTGTGAAGACTTACAGAAAACGTTTGACCTGTGTCATTGCCAACAAAGGGTATATAACAAAGTATTGAGAAACTTTTGTTATTGACCAAATACGTATTCTCCACCATCATTTGCAAATAAATTCATAAAAAATCCTACAATGTGATTTTCTGGATTTCTTTTTCTCATTTTGTCTGTCATAGTTGACGTGTACCTATGATGAAAATTACAGGCCTCTCATCTTTTTAAGTGGGAGAACTTGCACAATTGGTGGCTGACTAAATACTTTTTTCCCCCACTGTATATCAACATCCGGCAGCTGTTCTTTTAGGTGTATAACTATATGTGTGGTGTGTGTGTGTGTGTGTTATGCAGTTGCTTGGATTATTCACATAGCATAACTACATAGCCCCTCGTTGATTATCCCGTACATGTTATAGACTTAGTATATTATAACCCAAAAATAAAAGTTGTTCTATTTAATTCTGTGCATTAACCCTGGCCAGCCATCTTGTCAAATCATATTGTCGTGAGGCTTACCACCACCCACGTTATCTATTATATAATCCATCATTGTGGGTAATGGATATATATATATTATTATAATTAATAAATATATATATATATATTTATTATTATTATGATCGTTGGATAACTACATAATTACTAATATACAGTACATCACAGGAGGCTGGTGAGCGGAAGAGGGGAGTGAATGGAATGGTATCAAACACATAAAAACGATGTGTTTGATATCGTTCCATGTATCCCGTTCATGCTATTTACTATGAGCACGCCCTCTCCATTTAAAGTGCCACCAGTGATGAATGTTTTATTTTACTGCAGCAGATAATTTATACATAATTAGGAATGTACGTGTTTTATTTTGTTTACATTTATATCATACTGCAGCAGTGCTCGGTTCGGACAATGGCACAAGAACAAGTCTCCAACGGAGTATCGTTCCGGCCCTCGGCTCATCATCTTCATGATCGGAGGCGTGTCCCACTCCGAGATGCGCTCCGCCTACGAGGTCACTCGAGCCACCGACGGAAAATGGGAGGTCCTGATTGGTAAGGAACACAATATTTGGACTGAACCTTAGTGTACACTTTTATATTTTATTTAACCTTTTCTTTAACCAGCAAGCCAGTTGAATTTTGTATTTATTTACAATGACGACACACCATGTACCCTCGTTTGGAATTCCCCTGCTGGTGGCGCTAAAAGATCCTACAGTTCCTTCAGAAAGTGTTCATACCCCTTGACTTATTCCACATTTTGTTGTTTTACAGCCGGAATTCAAAATGGATTTATTTTTCTCTAGGCACAATACCCCATAATGACAAGGTGAAAACATGTTTTCAGACATTTTCGCAAATGTATTGAAATTAAATGTATAGAAATATGTAATTTACGTAAGTATTCACACCCCTGAGTCAATACTTTGTAGAAGCACCTTACACCTCTGGGTAAGTCTCTAAGAGCTTTCCACACCTGGATTGTGCAACATTTGCCCATTTTTATTATTTTCAAATTCTTCAAGCTCTGTCAAATTGGTTGGTGATCATTGCTAGACAACCATTTTTAGGTCTTGCCATAGATTTTCAAGTAGATTTAAGTCAAAACTGTAACTCGGCCACTCCGGAACATTCACTGTCTTGGTAAGCAACTCCAGTGTAGATCTGGCTTTGTGTTTTAGGTTATTGTCCTGCTGTCAAGTTGAAGCAGACTGAACCAGGTTTTACACTAGGATTTTGCCTCCTGTTAGCTCTGTTTCTTTTTTATTCTGAAAAACACCCCAGTCCTTAACTATTACAAGCATACCCATAACATGATGCAGCCACCATTATGCTTGAAAATATGGAGAGTTGTACTCAGTAATGTGTTGTATTGGATTTCCCCCAAACATAACACTTTTTGTATTCAGGACAAAAAGTTAATTGCTTTGCCACATTCTTTCCAGTATTACTTTAGTGTGTTGTTGTAAACAAGATGCATGTTTTGGAATATTTGTATTCTGTACAGGCTTCCTTCTTTTCACTCTGTCAATTAGGTTAGTATTGTGGAGTAACTATACTGAACAAAAATATAAAAGCAACATGTAAAGTGTTGGTCCCATATTTCATGAGCTGAAATAGAAGATCCCAGAAATGTTCCATATGCACAAAAAGCTTATTTCGCTAAACTTTTGTGCATAAATCTGTTTACACCCCTGTTAGTGAGCATTTCTCCTTTGCCAAGATAATCTATCCACCTGACAGATGTGGCATATTGTGCACCTTGTGCTGGGGACAATAAAATGCCACTAAAATGTGCAGTTTTGTCACAACACAATGCCACGCATCTACAATTTTGAAGGAGCATGCAGTTGGCATGCTGACTGCAGGAATGTCCACCAGAGCTTTTGCCAGAGAATGCAATGTTCATTTCTCTACCATAAGCCGCCAACAACATCATTTTAGAGAATTTGTCAGTACGTCCAACCGGCCTCACAACCGCAGACCATGTGTAACCACGTCAGGACCTCCACATCCGGCTTCTTTATCTGCGGGATTGTCTGAGACCAGGCACCCTGACAGCTGATAAAACTGAGGAGCATTTCTGTCTCTAACAAAGCCCTTTTGTGGGGAAAAACTCATTCTGATTGGCTGGGCCTGGCTCCCAAGTGGGTGGGTCTATGCTCTCCCAGGCCCATCCATGGCTGCGCCCATGCCCTGTCGTGAAATCCATAGATTAGGGCCTAATTTATTTATTTCAATTGACTGATTTCCTTATATGAACTGTATCTCAGTAAAATCTTTGAAATTGTTGAATGTTGCGTTTATTTTTAATCAGTATACAATGTTGTTGTCTCTCCCGAGTGGCGCAGTGGTCTAAGGCACTGCATCGCAGTGCTAGCTGTGCCACTAGAGATCCTGGTTCGAATCCAGGCTCTGTCGTAGCCGGCCGCGACCGGGAGACCCATGGGGCGGCGCACAATTGGCCCAGCGTCGTCCAGGGTAGGGGAGGGAATGGCCGGCAGGGGATGTAGCTCAGTTGGTAGAGCATGGCGTTTGCAACGCCAGGGTTGTGGGTTCGATAAAATAATGTATGTGCTAACTGTAAGTCGCTCTGGATAAGAGCATCTCCTAAATGACTAAAATGTAATGTAAAATGTTGTTGATCCATCCTCAATTTTATCCTATCACAGCCATTCAACTCTAACTGTTTAAAGGTCACCATTGGCCTCATGGTGAAATTCCTGAGCGGTTTCCTTCCTCTTCGGCAACTGAATTAGGAAGGACGCCTTTATCTTTGTAGTGACTGGGTGTATTGATACACCATCCAAAGTGTAATTAATAACTTCACCATGCTCAAAGGGATCTCTGCTTTTAATTTTTTTACCCGTCTACCAATATGTCCCTTTCTTTGCGAGGCATTGGAGAATCTCCCTGGTCTTTGTGGTTGAATATGTGTTTGAAATTCACTGCTCGACTGAGGGACCTTACAGATAATTGTATGTGTGGGGTACAGAGATGAGGTAGTCATTCAAAAATCATGTTAAACACTATTGCACACAGTGTGAATCCATGCAACTTATTATGTGACTTGTTAAGCACATTTTTACTCCTGAACTTATTTAGGTTTTCCATAACAAAGGGGTTGAATACTTATTGACTCAAGACATTTGAGCTTAAATGTTTTTATTAATTTGTAAACATAAAAAAACATAATTCCACTTTGACATTATGGGGTATTGTCTGTAGACCAGTGACAAAAAATCTCTAAATTCAGACTGTAACACAACAAAATGTGGGAAAAGTCAATACTTTTTGAAGGCACTGTATATCCCCCAGCATGTATGTTTCTTTAATGTTGATGCGCTGCTAAGTCTGTCTCTCACCATACATTTTCATCATGAATCTTCACTGTGAATGTAAGCATCTTTGGGTTTCAGAAAAGCGCTATATAAGTACTATAGTATTTGTCTGTTCCTCTCCTCTCTATAGGTTCGTCTCACATTGTCACTCCCACCAGCTTCCTAAATGACCTGAAGAAGCTGGACCTGGTTCCAACTCCTGAAAGCTAGATATAACCCTCCCTTCTCTCCTCGGCCTGGAAGGGAGCTGGTCTGAGTCTGCTGGGAGAATGGCTCTGAACACAAACCTGGATTCAAATTGTGTTTTTTCTTTCAAATAAGTTGAGAGTTTTGATTAAGTCTGCCGGGAGTACCAGACCAGTGGGATTTGCAGTTTGTACTTTTAGGACTATTCCAGTGGTTCCATTGGGTTAGACAAGCTCAATTAAGCACACTTAAAGTATTTGAAAGAAAACAAATACTATTTGAACCCAGGTCTGCTCTTAACGGAGTTGTTCATTATGAGATGCTTGTGTACTCTTCTAATGTTGCACAGTTTGAGACAGCTGTAAAACATAAAGTGCCATTTTAAGATGTAGTCATCATTAAAGGATAGTATCTTGTATTTTCAGTCTTTTATCGAATTTATTTTATTTTAATTATGCTTGAAGCAAAAAAAAATATGTAGATACGTATTAATATAATGCTGTGATGGAAATTTTTTGCTCTGAATATTTAATTAAAACAGTCTATATTATGAAGATTATTTGAATCGGTCTCTGTCTTCTACTGTAATTGAGTTACAAATATGTGAATCATCATTATACTTTTCTCAACATTTCCCTTTTCCCTTTTATCTGTTTATCTATGTAGTAGTACCATCCCTGTTCAACAATACTCGTCTACAACTTTATACCCAGAATTCATTACATATTTTGATATATTGCCTGTTCTTTCATTCTCCAGATCAGCATGAAGGTCATTTTTTTTCTCCCCAATGCTTGTAGGTATTTATATGAAGGATGCAGGAAATTAGTGACTGCTGTACACCAAAGAACCTTGGGCTGCATCTCAACAGTCTAAAGTGGCTTCCTCTCCTTCTGTCCTGTCAGTGCAAATGAATGAAAGGAGATAAGGAGCAGTGGCCTCTTTAGACTATTGAGATGCAACCTTTGTGTTGGGACCATTAAATACTTGTGTGCCTTTCCCGAGTTACATTTATTGTTTTCATCTGTCTGAATGTCTTTACTACTGTAGTGTGTCTTCCTCTGAAATCATGCACTTTTATAATATACGTTTTATAAAGGAAGGGATGAAGTGTGGTTGTTTGGGCTTTTGTTGTCTTTGTATTTTGGTCAAAATTATGAATAAACAATATGCTTATCCTCACCTCTTAATATTGCATTATGTCTCAGTCTGAATAGCAAATATCTGTCCCCCTTCAAAAATAAATAGGGTTTAATGTGTAAAGACAATTTTAGCTCAGGGCCTGGAGGAAAATTATTCCCTCAGACCAGAAAATCATGTATATATAATAAAACCACTTCGATGTTTTCTTGTTTTATAGTCACATACAATAAATGTCCTGAGGACAGTGTGTCCTGCACAACATCACTTTAAATACCTCAGATTTAAGTCTGGGACAAAGACACACAAACACACATGCCTCAGTATTCAGAAGTATAACTATTCAGGGTGTTTTCTCAGGCAGAAATGTAGATAAAAATAATGAAATCCTGTTCCCCAAACAAGTGCAAGAACCACAGAGTCAAGAATAGGTTAAATATACAAATAAAATAAAATCAATTAAAAACAATAGCACATCAACATAAAAACATATAAACATAAATCTGAAAGTGTTGCTCAAACTCCCGTGACAGTCCAGTTATTTTATCTTTGAACCGCTTCATGTCTGCCACATGTTGGGTCGCGCACACATTTTTCAGACAGGGGAAGTGAGCTGCATCACCACCGGCAAGTTGCGTCTCCCACAATGACAGCTTCAACTTGAAAGAACGTATGCTGTCATAATACTGCGTGACAACTTTGTTGCGCCCTTGCAGCTGTTTGTTCAAGTTATTCAGGTGCTCTGTAACATCCACCATAAATGCAAGGTCCGGCATCCATTCTGCGGAATGAAATTCTAACACTGGTTTGCCCTTTTCTTCCATGAACTGTTGAATTTCTTCTCGTAAATCAAAGAAACGCCTCAGCACAGCACCTCGGCTTAACCATCTTACCTCAGTGTGGTATGGCAGGCCATAGATGTGGTCTTTCTCTCTGAGAAGACTGTCAAAATGACGGTGATTCAGGCTTCTGGATCGGATGAAATTAACAGTTTGGATGACCACCTTCATGACGTTATCCATCTTTAATGACTTGCAACACAAAGCCTCCTGGTGCAAAATACAGTGAAAAGTCAAAAAATCACGTCCTCCATTTGCAGATTGCACTTTCTCTCTGAACTTTGTCACAACGCCTGCTTTTTTCCCGATCATTGAGGGCGCACCATCTGTAGCCAGGCCGACAGCGCGGGACCAGTCCACTCCGACCCTGTCCAGCGCGCCGACGAGTGCGGTAAAAATATCAGCTGCTGTCGTTGTATCTGTCATCGGCACCAACTCCACGAACTCCTCGGTGACGGTCAATGTGTCATCAACTCCGCGGATGAAAAAATGGCCAGTTGTGCAACATCTGTAATGTCCGTGCTTTCATCAATTGCAACCGAAAACGCAATAAATGACTTTACTTTTTGCTTCAACTGGCTGTCCAAATCCACTGAAAGATCGGAAATCCTGTCTGCAACTGTGTTTCTTGTCAGGCTGATATTTGCAAAAGCCTGCCGCTTTTCAGGGCACACAATCTCCGCTACCTTCATCATGCATGTTTTTACAAATTCACCCTCACTAAATGGTTTTGAAGCCACTGCGATTTCATTAGCAATGAGGTAGCTAGCTTTCACTGCAGCGTCACTGATGTCTCGGCTGTGAGTAAACACAGACTGCTGTTTCTTCAGACCCGCCAACAGTTCATTCACCTTCTCTCATCTCCGCTGTCCTTGAAAGTTGTCATATTTGTCGGCATGAAGACTCACATAGTGGCGACGAAGGTTATATTCTTTCATTACTGTAACATGCTCTGAACACACCAAACATACAGCTTTCCCATTCAATTCCGTGATTAAATAGGATGACCATTTTTCTTGGAACACTCTGCACTCTGCGTCCACTTTTCTCTTTTTTGACAGAGACATATTGGGGCAATGAGGGTCCAAAGCACATAATGTTAAAAGTAGAAGCCGTAATAAATACGCGGCAAAACAAAGTAGCTCATTGGCTGCACGTGCTTGACCTACTTGCTCTGCCCCGGTATAAACAGTCTGCTTGCTTAACACAATTGCTATTGCGCCATCCAGTGGACGCAATTGGAACAGCAGTTTATTTTATTGAAAAATTGCAGCGCATTTTTATACTTAAAAAAAAAAAAAAAAAACTATTTTTTTTTTCTTCAAAATCATCTCGCGGGCCGGATTAAAGCCGTTTGCGGGCCTGATCCGGCCCGCGGGCCGTACGTTTGACACCCCTGGTGTAAAGGCTTTGAGCATTCATGAGGTCTTCATAAACACCACATAGATGCTCCACAACTAATTTATAGCATTTCATATTAGATAATGGTGAGATAACAGGCCCTTACGTCGGTCGTTACATCTGGAGTTTTCTATGGTCCACTGTAGCTCAGTTGGTAGAGCATGGTGCTTGCAATGCCAGGATAGTGGGTTTGGTTCCTGGGACCACCCATACGTAAGATGTAAGCATGCACGACTAAGTCACTGGATAAAAGCGTCTGCTAAATGGCATATATATAATATAGTATTGCTTGTAAATGATTTATGCAGCCTCTATGTAGGCCTTATAAAGGTATTATGAATGCTTCAGTAAGCAGTAAAGGTAATGTTTTGTTCAAGGTGGGACTCAAATACAGTATATGTTATTTAATAATGACTGGAATTATTGGTCAAGATCATTTAGTGTGACACTGAAGACAAGACAAGTCTGTGACCTGCAGTCAGCCTCTGTACAGACTGTCTAACCCTGACTTCTGACCTGTCACCCTGCACGCCAACCCATCACATGATGAGGATGTGGGCTCGACAAAACACAAACAACATGCATACATGGATAGGGCTTTAATGATGTCAACGTCAGCTGAATGCTACCAACAGCGAAAAGATCATCCTTCACTGTCTAGAGGATGATATATTTGATCTGGGATCACAGATGGAGGGATGGAGGGGATGGAGGGGAGCAGGGAGGATGGAGGTTGGCAGTGGCTGGGGCACTTAATGGGGAGGGGTTAATACTTAAGGGCTTATGTGATCCTTAAAAAGTGTTCCCTCTAGTCACAACCTGCTTCTTATGCATTGGTACTGGCAATATCAAACCTCGCAAACTATTATTCGAAGATCATACTCTTTTTAATCCATTTGGAATTTCCTATTACTACTGTAAGAGATATTGAGTCGTATGTGGTGTGTTCTCTCGCCAGAAGTAGTTGTTGTTGTGTAACGTTTGCCACTTTTCTACACTTGACTTTTGCTCTGGTCGATCTGGATGATGACAGCTGCTGAAGTGGGAGGAAACAGTATCCTGCTGGTATGTCATAGTGTCATTCATATTTTTGAAATTATATTTGTTTCATTTTACATCAGGATACACTTAAAATGACAATACTTAGTTATTTTTTATAGCAGGCCAATGTAAAAAATGTGAATGCTTTTGAAAATTGTAAGAAAAATTCTAATGTGGTTGTATGGGTTTATTTCTGTGATCAAGAGGTTTTCATTGTACTGAACATTCACCGTCATTCTCTGTTGTGTCACTAGCTACCTAACTATGTTCATGTTACTGCCAGACCTGCCTGGGTTCAAATACTATTTACGGTAGAAGCTGACTTCTTCACATGGGGGGACTAGATAAATAAAGTGCTTTCATTTATAAACTGTAAAACAGATATGTATGAAAATACCCTCAAATTAAAGGTGACATTCTGTACTGTCGCCTCATATGAAACACTTCCAAATACAAAATGCTGGAGTATAGAGCCAAATAAAATGTTTTAGATTTACTGTCCAAATACATAAGGTGTGGACTCTATGGCTCAGGTCCTGTATTTAAAAATTGAACAAATACTGATCTAGGATCAGATCCCCCCTGTACATATATATAATCTTATTCATAAGGATCTAAAAGGAAAAAGAGATCCTAGATCAGCACTCCTATTCTAAGAGACTGTATGAAATGTATATAGTATGTACAGTATAAGCTGGAAGTAGAAGCCTAAGAGTTGTTGTCCATTAGTTTACTCCAATTAGGGGAGGGATAGTAGGATTAGGGGAAAATAATAAAGGAAAATATATTTTAAAAAAAAATATATATTTTACATATATATTTACAAAACAATATATGGGGGATTGGAAATGATGCAGACAATTACATAGACGGAAGCCTCAATCTATCTGCAATATAGAAGCTGATCTACACACAATACCCCATTTTAGAAATTAATTTTAAAAAATGTAAAACTGAAATGTGTTGAGCAATAATGGTGTTTAACATGATTTTTGAATGACTACCTCATCTCTGTACCCCACACATACAATTATCTCTGTAAGGTCCCTCGAGCAGTGAATTTCAAGCACAGATTCAAACACAAAGACCAGGGAAGTTCTCCAATGCTTCGCCAAGAAGGGCAGACATTGAATATCCCTTTGAGCATGGTGAAGTTATTAACTACACTTGGTTGGTGACATGGTGTATCAATACACCCAGTCACTACAAAGATACTTGCGTCCTTCCTAAATCAGTTGCCGGAGAGGAAGGAAACCACTAAGTCCAATGGTGACTTTAAAACAGTTACAGAGTTTAATGGCTGTGATAGGAGAGAACTGAGGATAGACCGACAACATTGTAGTTACTCCACAGTACTAACCTAATTGACAGAGTGAAATGATGGAAGCCTGTACAGAATACAAAATATTCCAAAACGTTCATCCTGTTTGCAACAAGGCACTAAAGTAATACTACAAAAAATATGGCAAAGCAATTAACTTTTTTTTCTGAATACAAAGTTATGTTTCGGGAAAATCCAATACAACACATTACTGATTACCACTCTCCATATTTTCAAGCATATTTTTTTAACTAGGCAAGTCAGTTAAGAACAAATTCTTATTTACAATGACGGCCTACACTGGCCAAACCCGGACGACGCAGGGCCAATTGTGCGCCGCCCTATGGGACTCCCAATCACGGCCGGTTGTGATACAGCCTGGAATTGAACCAGGGGGTCTGTAGTGACACCTCAAGCACTGAGATGCAGTGGCCTTAGACCGCTGCGCCACTTGGGAGCCCAAGTGGTGGCTGCATGTTATGGGTATGCTTGTAATCGTTAAGGACTGGGTAGTTTTT